GCAGACGCTTCATCTCATTTCTCCTCTGCCATTTAAACCTTGCATCCTTCCCCGAAAGAATTTCACTACTGCATTCTTCACTGCAACTTGCCTGATCTGTGAGTATTTTGGACAGGTCTCATCACCTCTGCCCCTCTCTCCACTTGCTATTTCCCCACATAGATTGCACCCAGCTATATCGATACCCCGTTTATGAGACTCATCCCACGCGGTTTCATTTTATAACCACCAGGTCAACGCTCTCCATCGTTTAGTAACACGACGAGGTCTCCTCTTGTTTCAGACGCTCCTTGCGCTTGTGTACAGATATTTTAGTGCCTTCGGATAAAGCTATTACAAAGCAAGACCGTTTTTTATTGAAAAGAGGATGCTGCCAAGTAAAATACTGTGCTCTGTGCTTTCCTCTTCATTCACTGCTGTGTGTAACATCCTCTCAGAAGCCTGAAAGTCACGATTGTGCCCTTTTATGTTTGGAAAACATTGATTTTTTTGTTTTATTATTGGAGTTTCGACTAGAGCTGAAATTAAGTGATGTTTTTATTTTTTTTACAACTTTGACTCTTAGGGCATTGCTCCTCCAGGGGCCAAAAGAGCGTTCTCTGAGACGTGGTCTCGGGAACAAGCCGAGGACTCGATGGTTGCTGCAGATTTTTCGTTGCAGGTAGAGGAAGTGCCCTTTTGTAAGTGAAATTCTTCATAATGGCATGGCAGGTGTTTTTAAAAACCCATTCAGAGCCCAGAGGACAGATTATAATGATCTCAAAGGGCCCAAGGATTTTGGCATTGCCCCTTCAAGTGCCAGTTGATCATGCCACCCTGATGATCCCATCATATCTCAGCTAACTACATTTAGCAGAGCTTAGGTCAGGGGCTTAATGGACATATCTTATCTAAGCGCGTGCTCGACTTCCAGCTTACTTGTGGCCTGAGCTCACGGCAGACAAAGGAAAGGCTACAAGGACACACCTGAGGCAGACCTCAAGAAAACAGATGCCGATGTCAGGAGTTGGAAGGAGTTGGCTGCTGAACATCACCAATGGCGTGCATGGCAGCTTCAACCAAGCACCAGCCTATTTTGATGTAAAGCGACTTGCCCTTGAAGCAGAGAAGAGAGAGCGGAGGAAGGAAAAGGAGAGGGATCCCAGCCTACAGCCTCCTCTCCCCTGCAGAAAGACCTGCAGCTTCTGCAGACGGGTCTGTGGCTCAAGGGTTGGCCTCTTAAGTCACCTCCAGACCCATTAGTGAACCGTGGGAGAGATCGTCCTTGAATCAGAAGATTGTCGATGACGTATTTGGCATACAAAGCTTCTCCAGGACTAGGGCAGGTGACTCAGGAGATGGATCTTTTCCTTGATTCAGCTAACAGCACATTGTTAGGGAAGTTGTGCTGAGGAGGCCAACTTTTTATTCCATGCAATGCAAGCATTGGGCGCTGAGAAAGTTTCCCAGCCTTTTTCCCTGAAGAATAAGGCTGACATTTTTTCATTGCCAGCTAATGAACGTGGACACCCAATTTCTAGTCTGCCCACACCACTCCCTCCACCCTTCCAAAATCTCCCCTGGGACCTTGGCACCATCTCAGCTTGTGCGGGTGTATCTGGATTGGGACAGGATAATGGTGCACGCGGTTTCAGGTGTCTTGGCTACGTTCCAGCTTGTGCAATTACTTTCTGTTGCTACACATTTCTTCTCTTCCTTTCCTGAGCTCTGGTGCAGGGTTACAATTAAACAGCTGCTGCATCCCACACTGGAGGCATTTCACACAGCCAATACTGCCTTTGCAAGGATACTGAGGTTTAATACCAGTAAAGCACGCTGCTACCCTCAGACAAGAGAAGCCACAAGAAATGCTAAGTCCTATCATAAGCATATGACCCACTTAAAAGTGCTCAGCCTGTTGCACTCCACTGCCATTTGGAGACTCGTGGCGTAAATAGGGGTGGAATTTATTATACCCTCTGGATCTGAAAATGCAAAGGTCCCTTGCCTATGAGCCTTACAAGAGACTCTCCATTAGCTAACAGCAGTATAGGCTCTATGACACGCACGAGAGCAGTCTTCACACGGGCAAATACACACAGTAGCTACTTCATTACGGCGTTATTTATTAAGAAAGCAATTAAACCTCCTCCCAGAAGCGATCACAATTAAGCCATCTGCAGTTATAAAATCTTTCTACTATCTGAAAGCTTGTTTAAAAGGAGATGGTTAGGAAGATTGCCAATTGAGTTAACTAACTTCCTGAATGTCCCTCAATTATTTAAAGGGGGGGAACCATGAGAGTCAGTGCTATTCTTGGCAATTAGAGCATGCTTGGGAAAGCATTATACTTGGGGGCTGATAGGCCAGTGATTTTATGCCTTCAAGGAAGTCATAATCACCCCGAGGTGTGCCAACACAGAGAATAGTATCGCTACCGAGAATCAGAACAGGGATGGCTTTTAGGTCAAAGATTTCAGTGCTGAAATCTGAATGCTGAAAGTTAAACGTGGCTCTATCAACATCGATCGCGCCACTGGTCTCAGAGATGCATACGCAGAAGTCTTACCAAGCTGCAAGCGTCGTCATTTTTCCTAGAGGATTTATTCTGTGCCATTCAAACAGTTAACATTTTCCTTGTAGAGATGATTCATTCAGAAAATTAGTGGGAGGCAAATACTTAGCTCGATTTTTGACTTCCCGTGCAATGCCACATAATAGCTTTGCACGTGAACCGCTGCACGCAGCCACCATGAGGATGTCAGTAAGGAGAGCCACAACAGTTCTCCAGGTGCTTTTCACCCGCAGATCTCCAGGTGCTTTACAGAACAGGGCTGGTTTCACCATCCCCGCAAGGGAAGGTCAAGGTGCAGAGAGATTTAGCGATTTGACAGAGGTTAGACCAGACAGTCTTGGGAAAGCCGCAAAGAGAACCGATGTCTCCTGACTTATCTCCACCCTACCTGGTGGATCACGGTGTCTCCATCTGAGATGTCTATCTCCAGCTGCAGGGGTATATCATCAATGCCAGAGCAGCACCGCTCTCCAATATACAAACCAGACCGTTCCTTGTTAAAAATAGTCGTTCTGTTCTTTACCGAATCCATACCAATTCACTTTTAAAACACTGGATGATCTAATGATAGATTTGATATTTAAAAGCAGTGCCTCAATGGCCCGGTATTAATAGTTGAGTCTACTAGACACTGTCATCAGGTGCCACGCAAGACCCTGGGGAGAGTACTGGGCCAGACCTGATGTGTGGGCAGAAGTTGAGAGCGCTGGAAAGCTGCCCGCCGCACTGCTTGGGCATTTTGATGCCCCTTTCAGGGGAAGCTCGGCCTTGGGACTCCCCAAGAAGCAGCTGAATTTGGCCTCTCCCTCCTGAAAGACCCCCCTGAAGCCAGCCCCGGTGTGGCTTCTCCTGGGGCAAGCATCGGGCTACAAAACCCTAGCCCTGGCTTCCCTGGCAATCCACGGCACCCCCACCTCCGAGAGACTCCTTCTTCTGAAAGGCGAGGGTTTTCGTCTTCAAAGCGAGGGGAGGCAGCGTGCCGACATCCCAACCAGCATGGCAGACTGCTCAGCTCCAAGCCGTCTTTACTGTGCCGTTGCACTCACCTCCATCCTCCCTTGGACTCTGCTCTGTCTTCCCTGGGACCACTCCTTTTTCCACCCAGCTCTCTCAGGGCTAACACTCGCCACATAAAATTAACTATAATGTCCTGGGGAACCATTCAGGGAGCGGTGTGTGTGGCCTGCTGCCAGGCCCAGACTGTTATCTACCCCTGGGGTGAAAAGGGCATCTTCTTACAAAACTGTTTACACCAAAGCCTGCTCCTATGAAGCACCCCAAATTGTTCCCCACCAGACCTACAGGCTAGCACTTCGCCCGCTTGGCCCCTTATAGAATCAGAGAAAATGAGGGCTGGAAGGGACCTCGGGAGGTCACATCTAGTCCAACCCCCTGCTCAAACCAGGGCCAGCCCCAGCTACATCATCCCAGCCAAGGCTTTATCTAGCTGGGTCTTAAAAACCTCCAAGGATGGAGAGTACACAACTTTTCTGGGTAACCTGTCCCAGTGCTTTACTACCCTCCTAGTGAGAAAATTCTTCCTAATATCCAACCTCAACTTCCCTTGCTACAACTTGAGCCCATTGCTCCTTGTCCTGTCATCTGCCCCCACTGAGAACAGTCCAGCTCCATCCTCTTTCGAATCCTCCTTCAGGTAGTTGAAGGCTGCTATTAAACCCCTTCTCAGTCTCCTTTCCTCCAGTCTAAATAAGCCCAGTTCCCTCAGCCTCTCCTCACAAGTCATGTCCTCCAGCCCCTGAATCCTCCACTGGACTCTCGCCAATTTGTCCACATCCTTTCTGCAGTGGGGGCCCAGAACTGAACACAGGACTCCAGATGTGGCCTCCCTGGTGCTGCATAGAGGGGAAGAATCACTTCCCTTGACCTGCCGGCAATGCTCCCACCAGTGCAGCCCGGGATGCCGTTAGCCTGCTTGGCAACAAGGGCACACTGCTGGCTCATGTTTAACATATTGTCCACTGTCACCCCCGGGTCATTTTCTGCAGAGCTGCTGCCCAGCCAGTCACCCCCAGCTTACACCAGTGCATGGGATTACTCCATCCCAAGTGCAGGACTTTATACTTGTCCTTGTTGAACCTCATGAGATTTCTTTTGATCCAATCCTCCAATTTGTCTAGGTCCCTCTGAATCCTAGCCCTGCCCTCCAGTGTATCTATTGGTATCAGCTTGGTGTCATCTGCAAAAAATCTTCCGTCACAGCCACCATTTCACCTCAGCTGATGTTGCAGAGTCGCTCCTTACAGCTGCAGCCTAGGCCTAGGTGAGCTGTATCCCAGCAGAATTCAAGTCTCCATGTGCATTGCAAAACCCTTTGGTACTAGCTGGTAAGAGGTTTTCCATCCTGATTTCATGATGCTGTCAGTGACTGTAAAACATACTAATAACAGTGTTTCCATAGAATCAAAAGCTCTGCAAAACTACTTACTCTGAGCTGTTGAAAGGTTGGAGAAGGCTGCTTTTGTGCGACCAGCTAGCCACTCCAGGCTTTCATGCATGTTGGCCAAGGCCTTCAAGTCGCTGACGTCACGCATGATCTCCTGCTGGGGGATGAGTTTATCTCCTAGGTTCCCAATGAGGACTTCTGACTCTTTGCCGAAGGCAGCCCTGAAATGCAAGTAAGAGCAAGGCAAGTGAGTATATATCACAGAAATAAAAAGACCTGTTGGCGCAATCAGAACATCGGACCCTTGCCACTGAAGGACTGCAAGGCAAAATGAACAGCTTTGACAATCCAGCTCTGTATTATTTTGCACGTACAAATGTCATATTTGGTGAAAAGTGACAAGCAAGGCAAAGGCAGACAAGGTTCCTTGGGTGAATTTGATATCTTTTATTAGACCAACCCAAATGGTTGGAGAATAGTTATTAAGCAAGCTTTCGGGTTCAAAAACCCTTCGTCAGGCTAGGCAAGCTTCCTAGATGGAAGAGCACACACCAACTGCTGAAGCTTCCTTAGCCTGACGAAGGGTTTTTGAACCCAAAAGCTTGCTTAATAACTATTCTCCAACCATTTGGGTTGGTCTAATAAAAGATATCAAATTCACCCAAGGAACCTTGTCTGCCTATGTCCTTAGACCAACACGGCTACAACCTAAACCCCTGCAAGCAAGGCAAATGCGTTTATGCAGCACATTGATTTGTACACAACTGGCTTGTATTTAAGTTCTGGAGAAGTCTTTCCCAGGGACCCTCAAGTTTGTTACTTCAACTTCTGGCATCACAATCCTCTTCTGTACTCTGTCCTAGCTCCCCACCGTGCTCCTCTTGAGAGCGCCAGCCTGAGTGAAGAACAAAATCCCAAAGTCCAGAAGTCTTTGGCAATCAGGACTCATAGTAGAAATGATATCTTCTATTAGACCAACAATGATGGTCTAATCTCTACTACAAGTCATGATTGCCTTTTCCTCTAGACCAATATGGCTACAACCTGGATAGAAGTCTTTGGCCACATTTTTCTGCAGTCATAACCACAGCTAAGCACTTTTGTAGGTGGAAACACTAAGGTCAGAAGCTACCGTAGTCTAGTCTGGCCTGGTGTACAACATAGGCCGCAGAATTGAAGGCAGCAGCTCCTATTTGTAAATGCACTAATTTTTTGGATGAAATAAAGTGCGCCTTACTGGGCGCGTCTACACGAGACACCAGAAGTGCAATGGATTAATTCTACTGTGCATTAGCATGTCACAGCAAAAGCCGTGCTAATGCACAGTAGAATTAATCTACTGTGTATTAGCATCACATGAAAGACGTGCGCCAATATGCCATTAGTGCCAATTATGGCGCATTTAGTACCTGTTATTACATTAATGCACGTGTAGACGTGCCCACTGAAAGACATCCAGCCATGAGTTAAATACTCCACATGCCAGTGCATCTACTACCGTCGGTGGTAATTATTCCGATCGTTAGTTACCCTCATTGTTGAAAGTTGTGTCTGGCTGCCACCCTACACTTCCCTAACTTCAGCTTTCTGCTACTAGATCTTGCTATGAGCGTCCGATGAAGAATCGTGCCAGAGTGTAATAGATGAATAAGAGCAGCGACAAGCTGCCGGAAAATAATTCCCCTGGTGGCATTTTGAAACATGCAGCAGTTTTACTGCCAGCATCTCACACGAGATTTGTTTATGTGACTTCGCTACCATTTATTTTTGATTTATTAAATAAAAATACGAATCGGGAGCAGGTTCAGAATCTTAAAAATTCAATTCCATTTCAAAACCGTTCATTTTTCACGGACTTTTGCTGTTGCCGCTTAAGAACGGAAAAACGTATTTGCGCTCCGCCCCCCTCAAGATGGTGCTGTAGAGCCGTGATCTCCGGCAGGACGGTTTGAAAGGCAGTGGGGGCTATGGACTAGTGCCGAAGACTGGGAAGTAAGAATATTTTTGACCGAGGGTTGAATTTGGTCCTTCCCTAGAACATGCGACTGCCTTTGATGAGTCTCATGGCTGTTTGGAATCGATTAATTCCTTCATCCTCTTCGGGGAGCCCCGGGCCTTCTGGAAGGGTAGGACGCTTTTACTAGATTCCCGTGGCTAGTCAAAATGGTACTTATGTTTATCACTCACGTGAGCTAAAGCAGCTCATTTCCCAACCATCATGCTTTCCTCGTTGCCCCTGCAAAGACCGACAGGGTAAAGAGCACCAATACATTTAATCAGATAATTAAAGCTATAGTCTCTCTCCCTTCCTTTTCTGGCCCCATTATTGTAATATTAGAATATTGTTCTGATATTAGGAGGTTGTATTCTGATATTACAACCTGTAGTGCATCTACCCTCCTCACAAGAGAGCGGTGTAGGGTAGCACCATCTTACAGATCAGGAACTAAGGAATGGAGGCTAAATGCCTTGCCCTGCAGGCATGTGGCAAAGATTTGAACAGCAGGTCTTCCCAGGGCCCACCTCACCCCTAACCACTGGGGAACCCTTCCTCCATGGTGTATATTTATACTTGACCCACGTCACTTAGTCATATCTAAAATAGCAAGGAAATGGCCGATGCTAGTTATACCCTGATAACCAGGAGATAGCTGTTCTTCAAGTGTCCCATGGAGTGGGCTACATCTCAACAGGAAGTGTCTTATGGACCCCTCATCTCCTCGGTGGTCTTTTCCTTCTCCCACTGGTAGCTAAAACCTCCACATGGCAACAAGAGCACTCACTCACAAGGGAAAAGAAACAAAAAATAAATACTTTATATATTTTTGACTTCTTTTAATGAGATCTAGCAGTGACATGGAGTTTGCCTTTCTGAAAAAGGTCCATTTTTCCTCCTGAAACCTTCTATGTAACACAAAAGGCAAAGAGGAGACATTCATTGGCACTCACTTGGGGTGATCTCAGGATCACCGGGTAGTAATCAATGGCTCAATGTCTAGCTGGCAGCGAGTATCAAGTGCAGTGTCCCAGGGGTTGGTCCTGGGGCTGGTTTTGTTCAGTATCTTCATTAACAACCTGGAAGATGGGATGGAGCGCACCCTCAGCAAGTTTGCAGATGACACCAAGCTGGGTGAGAGTAGTAAATGCACTGGAGGGGACGGTTAGGATTCAGAGAAACCTAAACAAATTGGAGGATTGGGCCAAAATAAAATCTCAGGAAGTTCAACAAGGATGAGTGCCAAGTCCTACACTTAGGACAGAGCAATCCCATGCACCAGTGCAGGCTGGGGCAGATGGGCTGGGCAGCTGTCCAGAAAAGGACCTGGGGGTGACAATGGATAATATGGTGAATATAAGCCAGCAGTGTGCCCTTGGTGCCAAGAAGGCTAACGGCATCCTGGGCTGCGTTGGTAGGAGCGTTGCCAGCAGAACGAGGGAAGTGATTATTCCTCTCTATTCAGCACCGGGGAGGACACGTCTGGAGTCCTGTGTTCAGTTTTGGAAAAGGATGTGGAAAAGTTGGAGAGAGTCCAGTGGAGGGCAACAAAAATGGTTCGGGGGCTGGGGGACAGGACTGGTGAGGAGAGGCTGAAGGATCTGGGCTTATTTAGTCTGAAGAAGAGAAGATGAGAGGATTTAATAGCAGCCTTCAACTCCCTGCAGGGGGGTTGCAAAGAGGATGGAGCTGGACGGCAGACGACAGGACAATGAGCAATGGGCTCAGGCTGCAGCAAGGAAAGTTTAGGATGGACATTAAGAAAAACTCTCTCACTAGGAGGGTGGTGAAGCACTGGAGTGGGTTACCTAGAGAGGTGGTGCAATCTCCATCCTTGGAGGTTTTTAAAGGCCCAGCTCAAGAAAGCCCTGGCTGGGATGATGTAGTTGGGGCTGGTCCTGCTTTGATCAGGGGGTTGGATTAGATGCAACCTCCTGAGGTCCCTTTCAACCTGAATTTTCTATGATTTCTATGATTCTCTGATCTGTCCAGCCACTCTCTGACCTATACAACTCTCCAAAACTTTTGTCAAAGCCATGGCAAACAACCCACGTCCCTCAGGATCACACCTTTCCTATTTTTAACCCTGGGGAAGATTATAAATAGAACCCTACAGATGATACCATGCCCTAAATTACTGTGGGTCTAAATATGAAACAAGACATTTATGCTAAGACGACAAACGTCAGCCAAGAAACAGATGCTGAAAGAACAGCAAATATACAGTTGATTGTTTTCTCAAATATACGCCCTTGGCTGCTAAAGCTCAAGCTCCATCACTACGTAGAAACTGAAGGCTGCAACGAGACAGCTTTCAACAACCATTCGCATCTTAAGAGACCCTTTATAACATTCTGGAGGAGTCCAGTCATTTTGTTTCTGACTTGCAGTTAATGACCAGCTTTATGGGGCCAATCATTTTTCTGGTCTTTTGGGTAGATGTTTAAAAGAAGTTCCAGAAGATACGCTCAATGCAGTAGCCTTCAATTTCTTCCTTGTTACGTTACCGGGAAATCAATTTTGCAAAACCAAACACCCAAAAGTAAGGAAATAAAAAAGGTAAGCTCAACTGTGCAACCTTAACTCTGTCCCTCTGCGTGCATGCATTACGATAGGACTTTCAGATCTGCGACAAATAGACTAGTTTCTCCAAGAAGACTTTTCACCATCTAAATGTACGTATTATCTTTAAGTGTATGTATAAGATAGCAGGCAAGCATGCTTTTGGAAAACAGTGACATGCATGGAAAAGGAATGAGAAGGAAGGGACTTCTTGGTTTTCAGCGTCCAACTAGGTAGCCTTAATGGCGCTTTCACAGAATTTCTTCCTGTTGTGTTTCTTCAAAACGAAAGGATTTGGTTCAAGTTTTCAACGGCACCCTGACAACTTTTGACAGACCCCACCTGGAAAATCCCAGCTCCAAAGGCTAATGCTTTAAAAAGCAGAAAAGTATTAAAAAACAAACAAACCCAGGGGCTCATAATGAAGGGTTTTATGAAACTTCAAAGTTTGCAAAATACTCTGCTATACTGAGATACACTTATCTATCTATCTATCTATCTATCTATCTAATCTGCCCGTGCACAAAGAAGAGAGAAAATTACTACACATCAACTACACCCCGGGTGAAAAAGAAAAAAACAAAGTGTACATCTTCAGTGTCCAGCTGTGCCTTCACCGAGCTCGTTCACCCTTATTCTCATGTTTGACACGAACTCCCGAGG